AGTCTAAAAGTCTGAACCAGCGGCTGCCAGAGTGAAGAGGTGGCATTTTTTGCACAGACAGAGTGGGACAAAGAAAGAGCAATAACCAGGGTTAACATGGGTTTGACTGGTTGACATAGAGAGGGTTAAAAGCAGCCAGAGGACTCAGACTGGATCCAGATGTGGTGTTCTTTGGATACTTAAAGGAGTATATTTTGCTGATAATACCTCTGTACCTTTACTCAAACAATTTATTGCAAAAGAGAATTTTTCACAGCTTTGCACTCACAAACATTTGAGGTGTGACTTAGTAATTTTAACAGGACCTTTGACCTTCATGTGCAGAGATGAAGCCAGTATCATTTTTCAGTGAAGTTTTTAATTTGCCTTTTTGTCAGTGGAAGAAACTAAACAAATACAAACCATAAAAATAGACACAAACACATGAACAAAACACTTCCATCCAAAGGTCAGATCAAAACACAAAAATATAAAGAAAAATGAAGAAAACCTACAGGTATAATTATTATATTATTATTATCATCATCATCATCATCATCATCACTAATTCCATCATTTAATGGGTCAAATGCATTTTAGCAGGCTATGCCTAAAGAAATATCAGGCTATATGGCTCCTATGGACGTTTAAAATATTGTGACATTGCTTAGCCTAATTATTACAAATACTCACGGAGGAAATATGTAATTTGTACACAGACAACAAACGACATCCATGTGGTGTTTCATCAATAATTTCTCATTTGTAGCTTCATATTAAATAGCAGCAGGTTGTTTTTGTTTAGATATCCGTGGTGATTATTGATCCGCCGTGTTTTGCACCTGATCACCAGCGTGATGAACGTCAAATGAAGGCAAAAGCTTTACCTGTTCAGGAAGCTGCGGCTCGACCTGGACACCGACAGACCTCTGCTGTTTCCGACGATTTTATTTATGTCGACGTGAGACACAACACGGACTCCATCGTTTACCCATCAGGACGTTCATATGACCCCGAGGCCAGGACCGCAGTCAAGTCAAACCTGAGTACAGGTGAGACTTCCGGTCAGCACCTTCAAAATAAACACGAGCAGTCTAATGTCTGGCCTCTTAAGAAAGATGTAATAAATCATGGATCAGGTCCTCAAGATGAGTTGTAATACGATTTATTGTTATAGTCTTATATTACTTATAATAACAGGCATTAGAAAGAACAGTTTCCTTAAAAAACGTTCGATAAATCTGGGCTAATACTAGAGCAGTTAAAAGATTTGACTTTTTACTTAAACTAAATGTACTTAAACATTTGCTTGATTATCAAAAAAGATGACTGCCAACATTTCGAAATACAAAATAGATATTTAAAAGAAAAGTATATTTACAATCAAAATTCATCTACAAAACCCCACAGAGTTGTGATTTCGCCAGTTCCACATACTCCCGATCTCTTATACTGGTTAGTAAAGGAAACTCGATGAACTGTGAATGAGCTTTAATTTGCCAGCAGCGATGTGTTCCGGTGCCGTGTGCGAAAGTGAAACACCTGCTGGGCTCGGAGGCTTCGTACAGGATGCTGAGCACCTCGGGTCTGCACAGGCTTCCTGCTGCCTGCAGAGGGCAAGAGACAAGCCACTGCTCCTGAAAACACAGAGAAATATGTAAATAACCGAAAACACAAGATTCAGTGTTCACTGAAAATGTCAACTGTGTAAATAATACACTTAGTATCATAGGCTTTGTATGGATTTATTTATGGATACTCTATAAGGTGTCCATATTAATAACTAGAAACTAGTTATTATATAGTTATGTATCACTCGCGTATTATTAGCAATATTATTAAGGGGCATCTGATATGTTTTGTGCGAGAATTAGACTACATGATTAAGACCTAATAAATTCGTTTGCAGTCTATTATTTTTATGGGAAACTGGAGAGGGGCTTGGGATTGGTTTAATGACAAGCTCCTGTTTCCCTTTAAAATATTCACTATATTATCAATTAGTCAATGTAGTTAGTAGTAGCTTATACCTAGTCTAGTTTGTTGATAATACTAACGTACTTTTACTATGATGAAATTAAAGGAAGCTGATAATACTTTAGGCTACTTTTACATTTAGGCTATTTGATAAGACAAGAGCGGATAGATCTATAGCCTATAGAAGTAATTCTGGTTTGGTGATAGTAGCAGTTTCTGTTAGATTTAAATATATATATATATGTGTGTGTGTGTGTGTGTGTATATATATTTACTGTATGGAGTGTTGAATATTATGTTTAGAGTTGCCAGGATTAGTTAGAATATTAATCGGCAAACATTTTGATAATAGTCCTTTAGGTCATTGTTGCTTTATGAAAATCTGCCAAATATTCAATGGTTTAATGGTTCCAAATGTGAGAATTAGCTGCTTTTATTTGTTTTACATGATAGGAAATTGGATATTTTGGGATTATTTGGCTGTTGTTCGGAAAAATACATTGTATGTGCAGAACGATTTTATTTCGTTTTCCAGTGAAACAATCGTCAGTTGCAGTTTAATTGTTTTAGAGCTCTGGTATCAAAATTTTTTTCCGTTAAACCCCGTCCTCCTGCATTCAACGTCACGTGATAATGGCCAGGCCTGGACGCCGTTATCGAAGGTACCTTCCTCTAATAGCAGCGGAAACGGGATGCAGGCTAGCTCCGGTAACGGTAAACGGTTTTATTTATCGTTTTATTCGCTCCTGTAGCGATGGCATCAAATACCGTTGGACAGCGGGTGTCAGAAGATGCTAAAGCTAGTCGGAGCCGCTGTCGTTGAGTGGTGGGAAGCTCCTCTCTGTTTCTGTTTGTTGTTAGCTTAGCTGCTTATGCTAGCTAGCAGCCTGCTACTTTTAACTAACTTAAGGAATAACCGGGAGTTATCCTCGCAGGACACAGATAACAACCGCCTGGTTAAAAGTCCACCAGGACTGCCTCACATGATGAACGACGGAGCACCGCTGTAGGAGGAATGAAGTTGATAAAGCTGCGGATGTAATTAGCATCAGGCCTGAGTACCAGCACACCTTCATCCGTCCTTGTTTCCTTCCTTCCTTCCTTCCTTCCCTCCTCCTTTCGTCGCTGTTCTAGGACTCTTCTCTTCTTTCATGGTCACCATGGAGTCTGGCCTGAATCCACTGCCACCGTTTCCAGAAAACTCCTATAAAAGTAAGTAATCCTGGTTTATGCGGCATGTGTAGAAGAGCTGTTGACCTGTCATGATGATGACCTTTGACCTTTGCCTGCAGTGACTGAGGAGGACGTGAAGAGGCTGATTGAGTTCAGAGCGTCCAATGAGGCTCTGTTCACAGGGAAAAGAAACTCTGCCAAGATAGCATGGAGGTATGAACCAGGTTTTAACACCATGCCTGTGGGTTTTACAAGGAGTTGTTTGTGTTAACTGACCGCCAGTGAGCCTCCTCTCTGTTGCTCAGCACCATCCTAAAGGGCCTGGGTCTTGAAGGGAAATTGACAGCAGACCAGATCGCCAAGAAATGGGACAACCTGCGGACTAAATACAAGGTAATGTGATTCAGTGAAGCTTTGCGTTTTACTAAGTCTAAATTAAAGCATACAGCCCATGATTCAATAAGTTTGTGTTAAATCCCATCCAGAGACTAACAGCAGCAATGAATGTAGTTTGTGAGAGTCCAGACCCTAGTTCAGCTTATCGGTCTGTGCCGTAGACCTCCACTGTTGTCAACCAAATATTAAACCCCTCCAGTGAGCCACACTGCTGCACTGGGTGGCAGGTTTCTTCCTCAGGGACCTGGGGAGCCGTCTATTTCCAACAACCAGCTCCACAGCCTGAGAACGGCATCACTGTGTACAGGGTCTGAAGGAAGAAGGAGTCAGCTGTGGGTGAAAGTGATCATAGAGTTTAGTGCTTTTTCTGTTCATGTTAAAATCCCAGACACTGTGGTTATTTTCTGTTGCATGTGCTGAGTCTTCTGAACTGTTTGCTTGCCTGTGAATTTTTTAACTCTTGTTTTTTTTTTTTTTCCAGGACCTGAAGCAGCCCTACCAGGGACAGGACAACATCGGGGGTGTTGTAGAGTCGTGGCCCTGGTTCCACATCATGGATGAAGCCATGCAGGGTCGTCTGTACAACAGCAACTTGGTGCTCAGTCCGGAGACTGTTGGGAACACTGCTCACCGCAGTAACAACCAACCCAGCCAGAACCAGGAGAATACCGACATCCTGGAGTTCCTCATCAAAACGGAGATGGAGGACACAGTGGCAGCAGAGAGTGCAGAGGATGATGGGACAGTTCACACAGAGACTCCACCCACTGAGGGAGTCCCTATGGGCTGGAGGAGGATGACCGAGTGCTCCTATAAAAGTAGGCAGAAACACTTGGCGGTCAGTTTATTAGGAACACCTCTCTCAGACTAAGTCAGTCTGATCCAGCAGTCATGCAGAAAATCCTCCTTCATGAAGATGATGATGTTCAGACAGTTTCATAGAGGTGCTGGTTCACCTGTGTGGTCATTGTGGAGGCTACAGGTTGTGCTCCTGTTCACCTGCACTGGGATATACTTAGAGCTGGCTCTGGGTTTTGGCCTCAGTGATATACAGCCATGGCCAAATATGTTGGCACCCTGCCTTTCTGCCAGATAACGCACCACTTCTTGCAGGAAACCGTTACAATCACAAATTGTTTGGTTTTGTCATGTTTATTTATTTTGTTTGCATTGCAAGAACAAAAAAGCCACATCTGATACCTTCCACACAGAACTCCAAAAATGGATGTAGTAGAAACATCGTAATAATCACCTAAAAGTTTTTATACCTCAATTATCTCAGAAGAAATTAAATATTGAAAAGCATCAGTAATTTAGTAATGTACACAGAGAGAAGTTGTAAGTAAGGCACAGTGTGTCGCAGTTAGTAGAAACAATGAAAGCAGAGTTTATGTTTAGACTTAAAATAAGAAAGGCTCAAATCCATGACATTCTTTGACTGTTTCTAACCTTGATCTACTAAGTCTGGTGGAGGTTTGGACCTTTGTGGTTCTTTGTTGAACAGTTTATAATAGTAAAGTGCAGTTTTGGACTTGATAAAATTGATTCTGTTGAAGTTATGTTTAGCTGGTGACTCATGCTGCTCCTTCCAAGCTCTTTAATGCTCTTTAAGTCCATCACCTGTGTCGGCACATCATTAAAACCTGCTGTTGTCATCAACAGTGACAGAAGCAGAGACAGAACGAATGATCAAACTTCGAGCTGCAAACGAAGCTCTCTTCACCGGCAGGAAACATTCAGCCAAACCAGCCTGGAGGTGAGTCTGGTTTCACACTACCTGCACCAGCACCTTTTGATCATCCAGAACTGTGAGACTGCACTTCTGCATGTATCTAAAACCAAGGAATCCATTACTGATTTTAGACGTGTTGAACTCAATGAAAGTGTGGAAATAAGTAAATCACAAATACCTGCCTGCAATTTTTGGTGAACAGCTCAAATTTGATGTGAAGACGGGGACAGCAGCAACTTGATCTCTGCAAACCCAGTTCGTGTTCCGTCAGTCCCATTATTGTCTCCGGTTATTATCTCTTATCTTTTCTCTCTGTTATTGAGTCTTCCTAGCCTCACAGTAACGATAGGGAGAGCCTGATTTACATAGTCTGTGAAACAAAGAGATTTGTGTTCTTTCTGCCTCCAGTAAATCCTCCAGAATGTGTCACATATTTTCTAGCAAGAGAATTTTCCTGTTGCCATCAATTTACCTTTTTGTAAAACTAAGCTTTACTCCAGATTGTTCACTCCCTCTTCAGTTTGTTCAATTAATGTTCTTCGAGTTTTTTTTCTTTAATCAGGCTTTTTTGTGCACCTTGATATTTGTGTACACGTGTGTGTTGTATTATTGAACCAGGCTCTCCTCATGACCTGGCACTGAGGCAAGAGTCCAGACTCCTGACCTCAAAGACTCTGAGGTTTCTGCTCGAGTCTTTCAGAGCTGGCTTAGTAAGTTTGTGAGGGATCTGTTTGAAATGTTAGTGTCTCTCCAGAGCTGCAGATTTCATAGTCAGAGGTAGGATGGTGGACATTTGACCACTAGTGGTTGTGCAACATGTTAATGTGTTTTCTGAAATATTGTTTTTAAGAACCTCAGGGCCTCTGTAAGTAGCGCTGTGGAGCAGTGTGTATCAGGCGCATTTATGTGAACTTAGGGTTTAAATTAATAGATCATCTCTGAAAATGTTTGGTGGCCCTCCAGGAGTCGCACAGTGCAGTTAAACAGTTGTCAGTAAGACTCCACAGGGGGCAACTTTAGCACAGGAGGACCATGATTAACCGGTGAGTGTCGTGTCTTGCAGAGCCATTCTCTATGAGCTGGGTCTTCAGGGGAAGCTGACCACAGAGCAGTTAGCCAAGAAGTGGGACAACCTGAAGAGGAGATACAAGGTGGGTCCGACCAGACACGGCTTAACCACGACATGTAGCGATGCCACTGCTGTGTGAACCACTCTGACCAGCAGGTTTGTTCTGAAGTTGCACGTGTGAGCAGTTTCAGAGAATTTTTCACATTCACCACTTTTGTCTGAGGAGGTGGAGTACAGAGAGTCTGCCTTTCTCCACGGTGTTAGGTAATTTCTTAGTTAGATAGATATTGATTAGAGATCTGTTGTATTAGAAGATGTTAGTGTAGCCAGGATGTCTTCCTCAAGCTGTTAAATGCAAGGTTAGTTAAAGCAGAGAAAGGCTGCAGTCAGGGACAAATGTTATTATGACGGTAAAAGTAACCATAATATTTGTCTTAATGTGTAATGTTATGTCAAATTGTTTTAGATACACACCACGAAAACAACAGCCACACACATTATTTTCTTCATGTTTAAACAGGAGAGGACTGTTTAAAATCAACAAAAAGTTTACTGAAAGTCTGATTACAGGAAAGTCTTACAGCGCTGGATTCAGAGAGCCAGAGCTCCCGCAGGAAAACCAACTTCTGAATCCCGAATCACGTTTTACAATGCATTTTATATTCTTGGGCTGCTCCGCCCTGGACAGAGGTACAACATTCAACAGCTTTTGATCCTATTGTCCATGTTAGGTAATTTCTTAGTTAGATAGATATTGATTAGAGATCTGTTGTATTAGAAGATGTTAGTGTAGCCAGGATGTCTTCCTCAGGCTGTTAAATGCAAGGTTAGTTAAAGCAGAGAAAGGCTGCAGTCAGGGACGAATGTTATTATGACGGTAAAAGTAACCATAATATTTGTCTTAATGTGTAATGTTATGTCAAATTGTTTTAGATACACACCACGAAAACAACAGCCACACACATTATTTTCTTCATGTTTGGTCTACTGCTCTGCTCAGCTGCCAAGCTGGCATATCGGGTGACGTCACGGTTTGACGCCCTGCGTGGTATGGGCTAGCCCAGAAATGATTAATATTGTATAGCAATTCTTGGTTCGGGGTCTTTCCTGTTTCCGGGCTGCTTGGGCAGCCTGGGGGTTGGAAAATCTCTGGACTTGAAGTGTTAATTCTTGCCTGTGACTCTTTGAATAAACCAGCATGGTTATATCTTTTATATACTCAAGTGGTCTGAGTCGTCCCTCTGAGTTCCTGGTTTGAAAGAACCGGACGTGGCTTTAGAATAGAATAGCGCCTTTAACGGGAAGAAGAAGCCACTTGTTTGACAGTCCAGGCTACTCCCTGTTTAGTCTGGTATTAGCTTCAAATGTGGTTGTGTTGCATGTGGTCTTTTTCAGAACAAGCTTGGCTGTCATTAAACAAATATTTGCTGTGAATAGTTGCAGGTTTAGAATGACCTCTACACTCCTTTATTGGAAACAACTGGAGTAATTGTATTTATAAACATTTTTTGTGAAGTGACTTGTGAAAAAACAGAAACAATGAGACAATTGTGTTATGGGACACAGATGAAAATTGTTGGGACTTAGTGTATAATGGAATAATTGTGTTGAAAAGCTGTGATGGCCCTGTGAGCCACGCACAGAGCTGCTCTGTGGACCGTCTGTATAGTTTACTGTCTGTTCCAGGAGCTGAAATTTCCTGCTCGCGGCGTGGAGACAAATCCGAGCTCCTGGCCCTGGTTCTACCGAATGAATGACGCCATGGAGGGACGATTCGCCGGCACTGCGCCCATCCTCACTCCCATTGTGGAGGATGAAGACGAAGACTGTGAGCCACTGTCACCCACGCCCAAGAAACGAGCCCGCCGGAGCCGGGGGGGCATGGCTGAGTTTCTTACAGAGTCAGAGATGGACCTGCTGGTTGATAACGAAGAGAAGAACGGTTCTACGGCATTGGGAGAGCTGCACCGGATGGCTGAGTTCACATACAAATGTAAGCAGTGCTCCCCACAGGGGGGGGGGGCCTCTTTAACTTTCCAACCACTCTCCTCTGCCTCCAAGGCTAATTCTGTGTATTTCAGTTGCAACTCCAGCTATGTGCTATTAAGTGTAACTTCAGGGACAAACAAAAGTAAATTTGAAGGTGTGTAAACCCACTGGATGCTTAATCAACCAACTTAAGGCTCCTCCCAAGTCCTGAGACTCTTCACTCTAACCGCAGTCACCTGCTTCTTTGCACAGTCCGTGAAGTCTGGTCTCCTGTCTGTGTCAGTGTGTGAGCCATGCACACACATGGGCCCGTGTTCGGCGGGGACCCTCAGCTACTCTGCTGTGGTAATGGTCAGATGACTGGTTAGACAGACTTGGACAGTAAGTGTCACACCGTGTCTACACCAAAAGCATTTCAGCTCTGTTTTTGACACGTGTGTAACCGATATGCTCCTATTTTAATCAGTCCAGTTGATTACACTGCCCACTTTTTGGTTCGTGCATCACTCGCATTGCGCGTGTATAACGGTGACCCAAAGCGTATTTTTACACTTGGCTCAGAAGCAGATTAGGGCTGGGTCTTCACAAAAGACGGATGTGTGTGTCTCTCAAACTCTGACACAGACAGGAGCAGGGCATCCACAGTAGAGACTGTCAGGACAGGCTGTTTGCTACAAGCATTTACCCACCAGTGTAGCGGGAAGTCCTCTGAGATTTACTCACCAAATGGAGAATATGTCCGCATTTGGCGCCTGGCGGTTGTTTAATTTGGGACCCTGCATGTAGTGGGGTCATACTACAAAGTAGCAGAAAATGGAAAGAACCTCCAGACTGTACTTGTCTAGAGTAAAAGTACCTTCTATTAATGTGCATTAAAGTCACACAGTATTTCTCCACAGCTTTTTATTTATCTGTGAATCTTACTATCGCAGCTTCATAGACGGTGGCTTTACTTAACTCAGAGTGAACGCCCTCGGTGTCGACTGGACTTGTTCTGGTCTTATCTGGACCAGAAACTGACTTCAGGGTTTGTTAAGCCTGCTGTTTGGAATAGAACCAGGTGCCTAGAGGTTAAGACACATGCACCCCCCACAACGTCACATTGTCTGTCACTGTCCAGCAAAGACAGAAAAAGGCTCCTCACACTCACGGAGTTTCTGTGTTCATTCTCAGTGACAGAGGAAGACACCAGGCGACTAATCAAGCTACGAGCTGCTAACGAGTTGCTGTTTACTGGGAGGAGGAACACTGCCAAGCCGGCCTGGAGGTAATGAAGCACAAAACACAATGTGTGTAATAAGGTTTTGTTTGACCACTTGGGACAGTGTGAATTTGAGGAAGTTATTTGCTGTAACTTTAAGTTTTGGAAATAACAAAAGCTGATATACAGCAACAATAGTGCAAGCACTAAACAAATGAGAAAAAAACTGAAGCAGAATGACCAGCAGGAGTCGGCACCCAGCTCCAAATCCTTTTTGACTGAATGTACAGATGATCTTTTTCTAGGATGTTTGTAATTAGTCTTAATCAGGCCTACTGGTTGTGTACATTTATCATATTGCCTGTAGACACGCTGAGACAAGTTGTCCTTTATATCATTAATTAGCTTTGTTCCGTCCACAGAGGAATAGTGAAGGAGATGGGTCTGACAGGGAAGATAACGCCTGACCAGGTTGCCAAGAAGTGGGACAACCTGAAGACCAAATTCAAGGTGACGTCATTCAACAGTTTGACCTGGACACCAGCAGTGTGTCTGTCAATGGAGAGAGGCTGCATGTCTCACTCCTCTCCAGATGTTGGCTGTGGTGATGGTTGTATTCTCCATCTGGTGCAGAGTCTGTAAATGATCAGAGTCACATTAAGGCCTCGTTCAGACTGAGTTTCAAAGGTGTGAACTAACGTGGTCCCCTCCATTCATTCCTATGGGGGGTTGCATTCACTGCAGCTGGCACCTGAACCGCAGGGGGTTCTGGAAAAATGCAGCCCCATGCAGTGAAAAAGTTGGATCTGGTTGAACTTGTCCCCCAGTGGGCGGTGGCATCATCCAGCAAACAGGCACTGCATTGACCAATCGCGTATGGGGGATGGTTGGAACGTGGACCGACCATCTTCCCAAATCAAATAAAATTTTATTTGTATAGCGCCAAATCACAACAAAAGTCATCACACAGGAAGAGGACTTTTGTTTACCATGTTATCATGAGCATTCTCTGCTATTCACTCTCCAGTTTTCGCCACAATTAATGCACCATAACGACATGCCGTGTGGATGTTAAGCTGTGTTTTCATCTATCAGTGCTGACACACTAGTGGTAGAGTAGGCAACGTTAGCAGCGTGGCCAACCAAAACACAGTGGAAACTCATGGCCTAGAAAAGTGAATGAAGCCGCTCACGTCAACTTGTCACAAGGTGTCCATGTCATATATGCCCACAACACGGCCTGGTGTATTAAAACACAGCAAGGAGTTGTGTTTTACTGGATGCAGTCTGAAGGCCAGCCAAAGCCACAACCCCGAGGGATGGAGTTACACAGTACATGATAGACAACAGTCCAAGCAATAATCTGTACATAGGCCATGAAAATAGATTTTCTCCTACACTATGTGCTGAGAGTTTTGGAACAGTCCTGTATGAAGCTCACAGCCACTCAGGTCAGCTGCCAATTTAATGGTGACTTGTGGTCGTTCTGTTTTGGGCCCAGAGGCATGGATCCGGAATACACACCTGGCTGTGACTCACTATCACCTGCTGTGAGGTGGTCGCCAGCCTGCTGCTGGTCTGGGTTTGGAGAGAATCCATACAGATCCAGCGTACTCATATCTGTGACATGGCCACAGATTCTGTCCTTGTGGACATTTCAGCGCTCAGCATGAATCCACTGTGAGAACACAGAGTTTTATTACAACCCAAAATTAGAAGAAGTTGGGATGGTATGTAAAATTAAAACTGAAAGTATTAATGTGTTAATCATCTGTGTCTTGTGTTACATTGAAAGAAATACAACGGCACATTATTCAGGTCAAAAGCAACTAAAATAATCTTGAGCAGGCTGAAAGAAATTTTTTCATATAAACTTTTGAGGAATATATTTCATCAACGTTTCAAGACAAAGTGTGAACCAGCACCACCAGCATAAAATTTAAGGACATGTGGCTACTGAAATATAAAGTTCAGTTTCTTCAGATGTTGGCTACTGACCAAACGCTGTGTATGAAAACTTAAGGGTGGGGGGAGTTGGGAGAACAGTGCTCGTTTTCAGACGGTCTCATCAGGAGACATCATCTTTGCTAACAGACATTAACCTGGGTCGTTCACACAGGCGACTGAGGGGAGCAGCTCTAGAAGGCAACATGAGACGTGACACAGATTGTTGTGTAAAGACTTAAAAAGTAGTGCCTGACAGGTACGTGCAACCAGCCGGTCAAGGTGGGAAGAGGATGGCTTGGCTTGGAAAATGATCAAAAAACATTCACATCATCACACAACTGTTGCACACTTGCAGGCGGGGGCAAACACGTGCATTCTGAGATTCTACTTTCTTTTCAAAATCAGTGGAAAATCTTTGGAGGTGTCGTCGGGTGCAGATTCCATTTGGGCCTGTGGATGAGAAAACAAAAATCTATTGAATCCATTTTAAAATAAGTCTGAAACAATAAAATGTGAGAAACTTAAAAGGCTCTGAAAACCTTCTGTACTGACGGTTTTTGCTGGCGTTAGTTTGTTTAACTCAAAGGGTAATGAATGAAGTTTGAAATTTTTTTAGCCTAAACATCTTTCATTGGGAGGCCCCCATCTATCTGCCTGTCAGAGCACGCTCTGACTAAACAGGAAACAGGATGGAGGTTTGGCTGCGTCCGCCTCTCTAATCCATCTCTCTGCCTTCCTCTGTCTCTGTGTGTCTGCAGGACCTGAAGTTTCCTCCTCGGGGGATGGAGAACCAGACCAACCCAGCCTCCTGGCCCTGGTTCCAGCTGATGAGTGACGCTCTGGAAGGACGACTAGCGGGGAAGGCTCCCAGGGTGACACCTGTCTGGACCAATGAGGAGGACAGCGTCTTCGGCTCGTCTCCTCCCGACAGAGACTGTATGCTAGCAGAGAGGAGCAGTGTGTCAGAGTTGGAGTGCATGGTAGGGGGAGACAGCGGCGAGGCTGAGGGGAACATCACCTATATTGACGCCAGCGGAGAGGAGTGTTCAACACCTTCTGACCTCTCTTACAAAAGTAAGACAAGTTGTTCTGGGTTATTCATCAAAACCTTTTCATGAGTTCCACAACCAGTCCTGTTGTGTGCAGTCAGATAATTCTCTGGGCTTTTAAATGGTTATTTAGCCTAAAAAGTCGGAGAGGCTTCTTGAAATTGTCACCGACTGTTTACATATATTCATTATGTCACTTATTCATTTGTGAAAGTGCCAGTGGAAGCCGACAGTGTTGAATTTGAGATCAGTTCAGCAAATGATTATAAGTGGTAAACGATCTGTTCAGTTTCAGTGATCACCTTGCCATCTCAATAAGGACAGTATGGCAGCATACAGTAGATGTTAGGCCTTATTAGCCATGTACAGTATATAGCTAGACCCTGTTACTGTAGAGCAGGGGTTTTCAACTGATTGTGTCCCAGGGACCATCATTCTGCCTAAGAAGTAGCCAGTTATCTACCGCTGCTGTGTGCTAGATAAAGCAGATGGGCACAGTTTTAATCCTGAAAACTGCCTTGGCTTTTCTAAATGTTAAATATTTGTATGAATTACATTATTCACAAACAATAAGTAATGCATGGAAATGTGTTTAAAAAAATAACATCAAAAATATTGCTTCAGTCAAGCTACATTGAATACCTGTAATACCTTTAGGAGGTAACCCTAACCATTACATGAGCCAGAGTGACAAGCGTTGGCCCGTAACTAGACCTTTGACCCTCTATCCCAAACTGTATAGTCAACGGACGATTACAGGGAGAGTTGAAGAATTCCCCTAACCTAACCCTGCTGTAGGGAGGGAGACTGTGGTCATTGTTCTTTAGTTTTAGTTCAGTTTCTAGTTAAGCTTTAGTTTGATATGTTATTCAGTCTTGTCCTTTTCACAGGGTCCTTGCTTTGTTTGTTTGTGAATCTTATGTTTGTTTGTTGATATATTTTTGGTGTTTATCTTGTGATATTCATATTTTGTCAATTAATTTTTAAAAATATAGTTTTACAGATGAATAGCCAGAAGCGAGAGCTTTGGGGAAACTCTCACATTTGGCAGCGGCTGACTGCACATACATGTCTCTGATCCTCATACAGCTGCATGCAAAATGTGTGGATACCCCTGTCAGATTCCTAGTTTACTCATGAAAATCAAATCAGTTAATGAAATAAAAAGTAACAGTACATTAATGTTTGAAGAAATGTAATGTCTGCAGCAGGGCTGGATTTACTTTTCCTCAGAAAATCAACCAGATGTAGACGTTTTGCATCCTGCTGTGTTTTCATGTCTCTATACTGTTTGAACACCTGTGTGTCTGTCCCAGTGACGGATCAGGATACCAGGAGGATGATTAAACTTCGAGCTGCTAACGAGGTGTTGTTCACTGGGAGGAGAAATGCTGCCAAAGCCGCCTGGAAGTAAGACACTGTGTTAATATCAGCTGAGGTGTCATATAGTCCCACAGAGAACATCTGCTGAGGTCGTTCTGGTCTTCATGGTGTCTGTCCCGACTCTCTCTCAGGGCCATCCTGAAGGAGCTTGGGCTGCAGGGGAAGGTCTCCACCTACCAGATGGCAAAGAAATGGGACAATCTGAAGAGGAGATACAAGGTGAATCTGTTCAGCAGCCAGCTGCTCTCCTGTTAGTCTCTATTTGCCTTCTGTCAACAGATCTCGTGTGCACACCCAAAACCAACAGTGTGTCTATAAAGGGAATGTCAGCTATGGGTTTGAAGCCCAGAGTTGCACCTTACAGCTTGCACCATGTGTTCCTTTTGGAGCCAGGGCCTAACTCCTGATGTTCTGTTCCACACTGCTGTGTGGTTTCAGCTACTGGCTACATGTTCAGACACAAAGTTGTTTGACAACAGTACAGTCAACTTCACCAGGGGCCTATTGCACAAAACTAGGATAAGGGATTAAGCCGGGATATCTTGGTGATCCTGGCTCAATTTATCCGTGATCCGGTTGCACTAAAGCTGGATTAGATGGCGGCAGGATGTTATGGTATAAATTACCATGAAGATTTATTCTGTGGAGCTAGCCTGCTCCAGACCAGGCTAAGTTCCAGGATTTATTTAATCTCATCCCTTATGTCAGTCAGCAGTCACCACAAACGGAAACCAATAGTTATTTCACTGCACACTATACATTGTTATCACATATAATTAGACCCACTGTCATTGTTTAAACGTTTGTGATCATTAATTTCAATCATTTTGGATAAATGATGACTTTTAGATGATGTTGCTATCATTAGATAATTTACAGTTTCCCATAGACTATAAGGCTATACAGGTGCTGGTCATAAAATTAGAATATCATCAAAAAGTTGATTTATTTCATTAATTCCATTCAAAAAGTGAAACTTGTATATTATATCCATTCATTACACACAGACTGATATATTTCAAATGTTTATTTCTTTTAATTTTGATGATTATAACTGACAACCAATGAAAACCCCAAATTCGGTATCTCAGAAAATTAGAATATT